GGACAGGATTGCACACGATGTTAGAAGGTGCAATTTAATTAAATACTTATTAAAAAATAAGTATTTAATTTTTTTTTAAATTATATATATATAAATTAAATATATATATAAATATATTTAAATTAAATATATATATATATATATTAAATTAAATATATATATATATATATATATATATATATATATATATATATATATATATATATATATATATATATATATATATATATATATATATATATATATATATATATATATATATATATATATATATAGGTATCGTGGTTTCTCCTCCTCCAGCTAATTGCCATACGGAGGCCACATTACCAAGGACCACAAAGACAAATTCAGCTAATAAATAGCGTCATTACCTGCTCTACGGACCAAGAGTAAAGTGAGTTTAGGAAGAACGAAGAGTGTTAGAGTTAATGACAGAAGAAGTCGTGTTAAAAAGATAGCATACAGAAAGCGGACAGGATCGCACACGATGTTAGAGGGTGCAATATGTTACTATACACGTAATTGGCTTAAGCCAATTAGTGTATGCAATATATATATATATATATATATATATTTATATATATATATATATATATATCTATATATATATATATATATATATATATATATATATATATATATACATATATCAATGTAAAAATATATATATGTATTGTAGTTATTGTCATCCGGCTAATTGCCATACTGACACCGTAAAAAAAAATAAAAGTTACAAGATTTCGTAAATATATACCCCCGTTACAAAGATGTCTTAGACCCATTACAATAAAATTACCATAAAAAACCAAATATAAAAAACACAAAAAATAAAATCGAGAGAGAATAAAAAGAAAAATTGTTTTGAAAAGGAAAAATTGAAACTGTTTAGTCACGTGTTTTTCTTATCTGAAAAAAGTTATTTCTTTAGTTTTTATCAAATATCTAGCTAATCATTAATTCTCTGTTATCATTTCATATATGAAAGAATTACATTCATCCAATATATACAATTAGTTAAAAAAAATTAAAAGTATTTTATATAAAAAGTTTCTAAAAAAGTCTAAGATGTTATTCAAAAATAGTTGCATATATCAGCAACCAATCTCAAGCTTCCGTTGCAAAAAATATTTTTTATTTCCTCCTTGTGTATTTCTTGTTTATTTTGTTTAAATATTATTAGTAACTCGTTTTTTAAAACTTTTTCAATTTTTGCTTTCAATTTTTTTAAAAGGTATTTGTTTGTAAAAACCTTATTATCGAAGTGGCTCTTCATTCTATTATAAAAAATTTCCGTTAGCAAAACATCCAATAAAATATTCCCAAAAACTCTTTGTTTGGCCCTTTTTTCATAGCCGAATAAAATAAATTTCAAACTGTTAATATGAGGGTATTCTAAAGGGTAGAGTTGATCTAGAATGTCTAAAAGATAAAAAATTAAAGGTTGCACTTTTTCACATTCATAGATCATGTGAGCAGTCGTTTCAACTTTTGTTTTGCATTGAGGGCATAGCTGATCTTTTCTTACTTTTATTTCAAACATCTTATCGTTTGTTGGTAATATAAAATGTGCTGCTTTGAATCGAATTTCGCTCGCTTTATTATTAGTGTTTCTCTTATAAATGTTGACAAAAAATTGTTCCCAATCAGTATAGTTTAGGTTGTCCATGCTATCAAACATGGACTTCCAATTATTAAATTTATATTCAAGTTTTTTGATGGGTTTGTTTAATAATTTGTATAATGTTAAAACAGTTAGGTTTTTTAATTCATATTTTGATTTCTTTTTAGCTATATATTGCGGGGCTTTTCTAAAATCGTAATTTTGAGATTGGGATAAAATTTTTCGCCTCCATTCTGGCGGAAGGGCTTTGATAATTTCGCTTAAGTTTTTTTCGCTAATATTCACGCTTTTATGATTTAGAAAGCCTGGTTGAAAAGTTTTTGCTATGTCAGCTAAAAGGACAATATCGTTTTCTATGTGACTCTTGTCAGGAATCAAGAACTTTTTTGGCGACTTTTGAATCATTTTGTTATAAAAAATAGGTTGGTTTAAAATTTCTTCGATTTCTGTTACTGGTAATTTATGTTTTTCTTTTAGATCATGCTAATGTAAAATATCTCATGATCAATGTAAAATCATGATCAATGTAAAAATCTCATGATCAATGTAAAAATATATATATATTTATAATACACACTGAAATCGAAGAAATTGCTTGATAGTTTAAACAAAAACCATATTTGTGTTGATTGTGGTTTGATATTTTAATAATCACGGAAGATTTTAAGTTTTATAATTTCGCAATAGCAATCTTTGATCGCATACGTTGGATCAACGTTGGGTTTAGTTTGCAAAAACAATCAACTTTTTGCAATGTATTTACATACAATGGATCAACGTTGATTTATATACATTGAATCAATGTTGCGATATATACATTGCGATATATTCTATTCGCGATAGTTTTACATACGTTGGCCCAATGTAAGTGTTCTAGCTGGGTATACTAAAACTTGCGCTGTTTATGAGTGACACTGACTTTAGTTTAAAAAGAAATGATATTTTAACTTTAGACGAAAGCTATTTGAAGGAATTTAAAAAACTCATTTATTCAAAACCAGTAAACCTACTCGAAAATGGTACAATAATTTCATGAGAAATTACGCAAAAAACATCTGTTATTATGCAATTATTGATAAATAGTTCATCCAAGTTGACGTTGTTTAACGAGAGTATAATTTAAATGAAAAGCCGCTTCATGTATTCAACTGTAATGAAAGTCAACATTGTTTGTCAAAAAAGAATAAAAAATCCAAAACAACTTGCCCTAAAAAATGAAAAATAAATGACTACAATTTTAACTTGTTGCAATGCTTTTAGAAATTTCCTACCTCACCAAGTCATTTAAAAAAGTCAAAATTTGATTGAAACTTGGGTTCGAGGTTCTTGGGTTCAAAACTAGATAAAGAGAACCCAGAAAAATTATTAGAGAAGCAAAAAAAATTGGACTTAATAATCCTCAAAAAATAAAAGTTTTAAAAACAAAAAAGAAAAAAGCTTAAGAAACCCCGAAAACGGTCTAAGAAATATAAAGAAACAACAAAGATCTATTAGTCAAAATATTGAATGTCTTTCTGCCGCCAGCTAAAATCCCTACCATATCAATCGTCTTTGTATTTCCTGCGGAAGCCTTTAGGACGAAGGTACAAACAGCAAATGGTTTGCATGTGTTTTGGCTGGTCGTGTATTCCTTGTATTACCAATTATCACGAAACAATTAAATTCGCGTGCAAGGAGTGTAAATAACTTTTATTAGTTTTAATTTTTGTAGCTTGAAATTTAAAACAATATTTTTTGAATACTACAACTTTTTCATGATAGTTTTTTAAAAATTATCAAATCTGTACAGTACAGCTAGAATTGCCATCTCCAAATGAATTAGTATTCGTTTGGAGATGGCAGCTGCACTATACTGATTTGATGATTTAAAGATAACACATAAATACAGATATATTGCTGCGATACTATTTAATAGCAAAGAATAATAGTGTGGTTATAATAATGGACGGTTATAAAACAATGATTTTCAGGGAGAAAAATTAAGGGGTTACTGAACTATGTTTCAGCCCTTGAATTACTGCCATTTAAATATACAACTGTGTAACAGGTAAAAAAAAAAATGCATTGCGTGTTACTAATTCCAAACAAAAACTTCACTTTTTATAAATTAAGAATTAATAATGTTTTTACTATAAATATACTTACTGCTTAATATGGTTCAATTTGGTATAGTTTCCAGTTTACTTATTTTAAAAAGTTAATTTGAAATTCAAAAAACAAGCGCTATTAATGCGATTTTGTTCGGAAACAGGAAAATCTTAGCTAAATGATGCTAGATAAACAAAAAAATGCGCATATAAACATTTTTAATTCCAGTGGACACAAACGTAAAAAAGACGTCTTTTAAACATCTTATACACGTTTTGGACGTCTTTTGAACGTTCAAAAGACGTCTTTTTTTGGTCCGGTGCACAGTGGTCATTTTTGGGGTCAAAATCTGCAGAAAATTCCAAAAGTGTCATGAAAAGATTTTTTAAATTTATGGTATTCATCAAAAAATAGGATAGTTAGAGAGCCATAATATGAGGTTTAAGAGAAATTGAAGTAAAAATAGGTTGGCTATGAGTAGAACAACAGGAGGAAAAAAGTAGTGAAAAATTTACTGAAAAATGACTATTTTTAAAGTGGATCTTAGAAAATAAAGGGTGAAAATTTTCAAATTTTTGTTTAATAATTTTAGTAATACATATAAAAAAATATTAGAAAAGTAAAAAAAAAAAAGTTAAAAACTATATTGCTATGTATAGTAATGATTTTTCAAACATCAGAAAAAAAGTGTGCTACATGTCAAAAACAGTGCTGCAACTTTTTCCCAACAAATCCCAACAAATTGGGACCAAATCAGGTGAAAAGAGGAAATAAAGACCTTTAAAATGACACATGAAATTGTTGCGGGGAGTTGCAAGAGCTTATTTTATTGACTTTTAAAGTTCGCGCAAGTGTGCGCGTGCGATCGTAATTGTCGGCGAGCGTAAAAATTCGAAATAATAAGCATCTTGCACTTTGGCTTGCGGAGTTTTGATACAATTTGCAACATTGGATATCGCCAAGATGTCAAAAAGTTCCATCTTCATATGAGCCCTGATGAAAAAAGACTGGTTGCAAATCGGGAGACACGAGTCAAGCAAGAATTTCGGGAGCAGCTGGGTCTAATTGTTGACCAGAGGCGGGATGGAGGTGCTGGCACTACAACAACAGGAAATGTTGCTCGCAAAGCTTTTCAAAACCCAGGTAGCTACACTTGCAAGTTTTGGTACTTTCACCAAACTTTTTGGGAAGCATTCAGAAATAATTTAGTTTTTAGATATTATGTCTTGTCAAGTTGCATGAGCATCACATCATTCATCGAAAAATCCGTCTTTATCACAACAAATTTCATCGAAAAATCCGTCTTTATCATGCTCGAAAATCATCCTGGCTCAATGGCATGTCTGACCTTTTCTTGAGACTGATGGACATCAGTGATCCAAAGATACAGGTAATTTTGGAATTAAGCATATCCAAAATTTTTCCAATTTCAATAATTTTTCATTCTTATTTAATTTAAATGATTTCTGAAACAGGACCTTTTTTCATTTGAATTTCCCAATTTAGCTTTGATAGCAGTATTTTCTTTCATCCATTAAATGTTATACATAATTTTTAGGCTTATGTCCACTGCAAGAAAAAGAAGCACAACTCAGAGATCTTGCCTGAACCCATCAAGAAACTCTTGAAGATGCCGGAACTTCAAATTTCTAGAGATGCCTCTGATTCAGAAGAAGAATAAAGAAGTCAAACAAAGCAACCAAAGCCTCTCATAAGAATTAAAAAAATTCTCATACATTCCCAATTTTGTTATTTATCTAATGTTATTAGTTTCAACCAGATCAAACAAAATTGATATGCTTAACTCTATGTAAAAAAATATTTTCTTTGATGTAAGCACTTATGTTGTGCCTAATATAACCAACTAGAACCTCATTTGTGTTAATTTTTTTTAGCAATACATTTAAAAACTGTCATACATGATGGGCAGGTTGGTAATCTCCCTGTGGGTATTCCTCATGCTTAAGTAAAAATGTTTTCTGCCATTATCATGTTTGATATGATATTTGTGTGAAATTTCTTCTATTTAATAAATCCATTTTGATCTTTAAGGTAATGAGACACATAATTCATTTTTGCAACCTAGCATTAATTGCAAAGTGTCAAATCTAACTTAAAAAAGTGAATATTTTATTTTTCAAAGCAATTTTTTGGGTTATTTATAATTTTTACTTCAAATATGTTCATACCGGCTCTTTTTGAACACATAAAAAATGTTTTAGATTTTCTGCAGGTTTTGACCCCCAAAATGACCACTGTGCGGTGCCCACTGGGAAGAAGACCACCAAGTCTTTTCACAGAGAACTGCTGTTGAAGAAATTACACAAAAATATTAAAACCTTCCTTTTGTTGTGGTGTTAACGATTTGCATCAACTGAACTACTAAGTCTTTCGAACCGCTGATTCATTAATAATTTTTAATTTCAACTTCCAATAAGAATTTTCCATAATTTACTAAATATCAGTTCTTACCCCCGTCGAATCTTATTTGTCAAATATAGGATAATCTCTGAAAACCTGTCGAATATAATAAAAATAGTTTCTTCTGTAATTGCAAATTGTCCGAAGGTTGTTTGAAACCAAGTTACAAAATATTACACAGTGTATCGCTTTGTACAAGCTATGTGGACAAAAGTCAGTTCAAGTAATGGACTAATTGATAATTTTTTCCTAATTATAGTCTTTTATTGGTAATAACTTACGGTGTTAATTATGAAAAACATTTTAGAACAATGAGTCTTAAGCAATTAAAAAGACTTTAAAATATATTTTATTTTTGAAAAAATCTAATTAGATAAGAATTCTCGTTTAGAGTAAAAGCGGGGCTAACCGATCATACTATTTTTTCGATCACTGATGGAAAAATTTAAATAAAACCGGAACTAATTGGAATATTTAAAAAATAAAAACACCAGAAAAAAGAGAATCATCTCCTCTATTCAAATGTGTTAAAATAAAATCCAAGTCATTTTTAAGTCATTTTATTTTTATAAAAGTTTAAAAGAGAGTCGTAAAAATTTGCTTTTTTCTTTTATATTTTCTATCGTAATAATTCGGGAACCATAATTCGTTTAAAAAAAAATTTACGTCTATCTTGTAGAAAATTTAATTTTAACATCGATTACATAATTTTTTTTCGTTTTATAGTTAAAAAAAAGACAAAAAAGTAAGAAAAATTAATATTAAATTTTTCTGGTAAAACCGATCATTCACATATTTACTTTAAATTCCTTTATTAAGTATTATGTGAATTTTTAAATTAGGTACCTAGGTAAATTAAATTATTGAACTTTCTCATGTGTTAGTTCAGGGTTCTTTCTATATAAAGTTATTTTACAAAAATGGCTCAATGATATTTATTAGTTATTCACTTTCAAGATGAGAACAAGTAAAAAGCCATACAATGAAGAAGATAGAAAAGCTGCATTCAAATATGGCATTCCATTCTCAACTCTTATAGGTCGCAAGAACAACAACAATGCTAGCTTCAAGGGATCAGGATCAACAACCGCACTCTCACAGCAAACAGAGTCAATTATGGTGCATGCATTCAAGTTCCTATGTGATTAGGGTTAAGGCTTAACACGAAATGATGTCATGGACTTCGCATGCGGTTACCTTCTTCGTACAAATCAATTAGGCCTATTTAAAAACGGAAGGCCTGGCAAAGACTGGTTTTATGCATTTATGAACCGATGGTCTAAAGAAATTTCGACAAGAAAAACTCACACTTTAGCATCTGCCAGAGCCGCTTCTTGTACGCAAGAAATAATTGATAATTATTTTGAAGTTGTCACTAAACAATATCAATTGTCTAGCATATCTTCCTGTAGTCATATTTGGAATTGCGATGAAACGGGTTTCTGTGGTGATCAAGGCAAAGCAACTGTAGTATGTCAAAAAGGTGCAAAGTATGTTTTGAAACTCACTGGTAACAATGAAAAAATCCATTATAAAGTGAACAATTGCTGTAATGCTGACAAATACTTTACACCACCATTCGTGGTATACAAAGCAAAAGGAAACTTTAGAGCTGAGTGGGCTTTAGGTGGTCCGACTGGCAGCAAATTTTCAATTTTTAAATCTGGTTAGATGGAGCATGACACATTTATTGAATGGTTGAAGGAAGTGTGTACACCAGAATGTCAAGCTATTAATGGTACTAATATTTTACATCTTGATGGACATTAATGGTACTCATATTTTACATCTTGACAACTCACGTCAGTTTAGCAGCTGTATTGCTATGTCGGGAAAACAATATCATTTTGATTTGTCTACCAGCCCACTCATTTCATATTTTTCATTCACTGGACAGAGGTGTCTATTGCCATGTTAATCAAGTGTGGAAGGCAGTTCTTACCAAATATTACAAAGACACAAAATGCAAAAACTTAGAAAAAGAAAATTTTCCTACGTTCCACAAACAGGTGTATGAGAACGGTAAGTGTTTTACACGTTTGCACTCTATTGCTGGTTTTGAATATACTGGATTATTTCCACTTAACAAAAACAAAATCAATCAACAGGCATTAGCTATCACCGAAACGTTTAATCAACCGACATCTTCAACGCCATTGCGAACAATAAAGTCTTTAGCATTATCTTCTGAACTAGCAACAGCAGCTTCGAGGTTTGACAAGTATAGAGCACTACATGAGAGAATGAAAATCGAAACGGAAAATGAGCTAAAGAGTTTTTTTCTAAAACAAAATCAGTATCATGTAAAAAAAATCGAGGCAACCTAATATTCATAAAATTGCTGGCTTATGTATTAGAGAACAGGGTGTTGCAGATCATCTCAAAAAAAGAGAAGAAGTTAAGCAACTCAAATTAGCTGAAAAACAAGCTAAAAAGCGTAAAACCATCTGCAAACTCATAATGCCATTGCCAAACCCTGCAGAAAAAGAAGTAGCTCAAAATATAGAACTTCAGCCAAAAGAAGAAAAGTTATTAAATGCAGAAAGTGTAAAAAAGAAATACATTCGGACATGATGTCATGCGAGAATCCAAATCGCTCTGCAACAAAACATGTTTGCCAAAAAATTTAGTTATGGATTCAGATTTTTTTTGTTGTAAAAAATGTAAACCTTAAATCTTTTATTATTTCTGTATGCTATATAAAAAATATATAAAAATATATACATTTACATAAAATGTTAAATTTGTTAAATGTATATTATATTGATCGGTTTTAACAGACTTTCTGCCAAAAGCGATCTTTTTTTTCTTCTTCTAGTTTTCATATTTTCAAATACAATTATAAAAAATTTAAAAAAATTAATTAATAACGTGCTTGTTGGTATTTTCTATCTTATTTAAAAAAAATAGTTTAAAAATTTTTACAAACAATAATGTTACTTGATATCCAACTATGTTACTCGATTGGATTTTATTTTGCTAAAATTTTGTGTTGCTGACATAACTGATGCATTTAGAGATTCAGAGAAGTTTTTGTAATTAAAAATTTCATGTATGGCATGATTTACAAACTCTAAGGGAAACTAATGAGTTTCTGTTTATATTTTCATCTGTTCTTTTAAGATTTAGTGACGGAAAAAAATATTTTTTGGCAAAATCCGCGTGATTCTCTCAATGATAAATTGAAAAGTTTGCAATCCCTTGACTGACACAAGTTCCCAACAAAAATGTTGCATATGAGGTGCGACTCGTAAAATTATGAAAGATGAACTAAAAATCTTAGTTGTTAAAAAAAAGCATTATGATTTTGTCTTTCTTCTTGCAATCCAAAGTATTGTCTACTGTCTACTACTATCTACTGTCTACTTTGCAATGTAAAGTAGACAGTACTTTGCATGCAAAGTTTGCATGCGTAGATTTGTTTTTTTGAGTACATGCTACACATTAACTATTGTTTAGTTATAAAAATGCGGCAAGTTAGAAGGTATGAAGGCAAATCTTGTCTTCAAAAACGTTCAGAAGATTTCAAACAAAAATTTAAAAACCATATAAACATGGCGGCTGTTGAAAGTATGCTCTAGTTTTGCGAACCTTCTCATTTATATCCATTTATATCTTTGTAATCTTTATAATAAACCTACTTTTAAATAATGGCAAAAAAAATAAATCCTTTACTTCTCCTTAAGTCAAGTAAAAGATTTATTGGATATTCATGAAAATACGATAATAAAAATCTTTAATGACCATATACAAAAATTAGAAAGCGAACTGATCATTATAAAAGAAAAAAAAAAAAAAAAAAAATTAAAACGCGAACTTTATGAGACAAGTAATAATATCGATTTCGTTAATGAACGATTAGAATCAATAAAAGAAGCATTAAATAATACTAAAAAAAATGCACAGAGTCAAACTTAATAAAAAAATTTTTAACGATGAAAATGAACAACTGAAGAATAAGTTTGTTGAATTAGAAGACCGAAGTAGAAGAAATAACTTTCGATTTGAGGGTATTGAGGGAAACGAAGGTGAAACATAGGAGAAAAGTAAATAATTGATTAAAAATCTACTTAGAAAAAAACTTGATATTAAAGGTGTACAAATTGAAAAAGCTGATCGTGCTGGAATAAAAGAACACGAAAAAGGTAAGAGTAGAAAGCGAACTATCGTTGTCAAGTTTCTCAATTTTAAAGATCGTGAAAACATTCTCAAAAAATACAAAAAAATGAATTTAGGGAGAAAAAAAAACATGGATATTAACGAAGATTTTAGCGAGCGGTCAACTAGTATTTGCAAATAACTTTTCCGACAAGCAAAAGAGCTACGAGCATCAGGTAAATTCGCTAAAGTTGTGTACAATAAAATAATCACTTAGCCATCTTAAAATAAAGTATATTCACGGTTATTTATAACAGAATAGAAAATAAATATTAATAAAAAAATAATTTTATATA